ATACTACTACTACTACTAATAATAATAATAATAATAATAATAATAATAATAATACATTTTATTTAAAAGCGCTTTTCTAAGTACTCTGTACAATAACAGTATTATTAGACATAGATGCTGATATTTTCCCATTTATTCTTCAACAATGTATTTTGTGAGTTACTTTGAGTGTGTCATATGCTAAATCTAAGTCAGATTTTTAGTTGCAGCCACTGTGTGTTGTTAGTGTTGTTGGAGCTGTGTGTATTTGTGTTGAAAACAGTGTAGCAGGTCCAAACAGACGAACTCTTTCCTCCCCCTTTAATATTTCCGAGTGTATCTCTGATTTGTGTGTCCGCTCCGCTCAGGTCTGTGCTGACTGTGGCCTGTGAGCAGACCGAGGTCCTGCTATTTGATCCTATCTCATCCAGACACATCAAAACCCTGACCGAGGCCCACGAGGACTGCGTCAACAACATAAGGTACATTTCACCACACCAGTGGAGGGACCCAGGGAGTTGAAGCTGAAAGCAGTGAAACATAATAAGGTTCAGGATGGCAACATGATCCCTTAAATCGTCTTTATTGTTGCATCAGATTAAGCTCCCTGTCAGGATATAAAGTGCAGAGGCCAATAAAAACCAAAAGGAATCAAGCTGCTGTGTAGATTCATGTCTGCAGAGAATCTTAAATGAAATCGTTCCCCTGTACCCGGCAGGTTTTTGGACAATCGTTTGTTTGCCACCTGCTCCGACGACACCACAATTGCATTATGGGATCTACGTAAACTGAACTCAAAGGTTTGCTCGTTGCACGGCCACGCCAGCTGGGTGAAGAACATCGAGTACGACACCAACACTCGTCTCCTCGTCACGTCTGGCTTCGACGGCAACGTCATCACGTGGGACACTAACAGGTTCGTGTGTGTCTGCATGTGTGAGCGTCGTCAAAGTATCTAATGTGTACATTTCAAAATAAATATAAGGGAAATTATTCATATTTAAACATGAACTTTGTGTTCTTTGCATCTTATGCATTCATTATATGACTATAATCTATCCCTTAATAATATATAAATAAATTATCTACCATAGGGCTGCAGCAAATTATATATCTATTAATATATTATTTCCCCAAAAAACAATGTTAAAAATGCCCATTACCAGTTCCTAGAAACAAAGGTGATGTTTTTGTATTGCTTTTTGTCCAATAAATAGTCAGAATATATTCAATTTATAATGATGTAACAGAGAAAAGCTAGAAATTCTTAGATCTGAGAGGCTGGGGCCAGTAAGTCTTTTTTGCCTCTTATAGTTGTGTTACAATGTGCTGTGTTTACGTCATTGTTGTACCTGGAGCTGCACATAAAAACTTGAACCAATACATCACTGACTTTTTAACAGTCCTCTCTACTTCATCCCTCCGTCAAATAAAACCTGCAACATTACAGCTTAGAAGGTTGGCTAAATGGTGTTTTTGGCTGTAATTCAACCCTAGAAATCTAATTTGTTCTCCTGAAGAGCTACCCAAAGTGTTTGCAACTCTAAACAAAACCATTTCACTGTGGATATTTTGTCTTGATGCTTCCTCACACCTTGTGCAAATCCTTTTAACCAGAATTACATTCAATTATTTAAGGGAAAACAACATCAAGCTGCCCGTTAAGACTTTAACTGTCCTCTCTTTGCAGGTTTACAGAGGACGGCTGCCCGCACAAAAAGTTCTTCCACACCCGCTACTTAATGAGGATGCGTCTGACACCCGACTGTTCCAAGATGCTCATCTCCACTTCCTCGGGGTACCTGCTCATCCTCCACGACCTGGACCTCACCCAGTCCCTCGAGGTGGGCAGCTACCGCATGCTGCGAGCGAGACGGACGCCACTCAGCTCAGGTCAGATCTCAGTCTCCCTGAAAAACGAAATCTGCCCATATTTCACTTTGTACCGTTTTTTATGTTTTGTTTTTTTTCCATTCTTTCAGTGTTATCTCTGTTCAATGTTTTTAGATTTTCCTTTCTGTAAAACTTACACCTATTTAGTGCCAAAGGAAGTTGTTGATTAAGACATAATTAATGAGCTGTAATTTTGATGGTTGAGTAATTTTTTTTAGTCCATTATCAGGTAAAAATACAAAATATTTCAATACAGATTCATAAATGCAAAGAATAACTGGATTATCTTAATTTGATGTCATTTAAAATCTAATATTTTCAGACATTGCACAACTTATGATGGACATTTGTCATTATAACTGACATTTTGTTGACTAAACAGTTTAGTATTTAGAGCGTTGCCGTTGTTTCCAGTTTAAATGAAATTATTTTTGACCGTGTTGTGATTTGTAGATGGAGGCACATCAGCGTCCAGGTCAGCTGGGACTCCTCGCCAGGGAAATGACTCCAGCAAGATCCACCCTCACCGAGAAGGTCAGAAACAATCGCAGTGTAAAACTGAAGTCAGATTCTTTTCTTCCAAAGTGATAAAGACAGACTTTATAACTATTTGCAAACTTTGTTCTCGCAGGTCTTTCTCCCAGAAACAGCCTGGAGGTTTTGACTCCAGAGATCCCTGGAGAGAGAGACAGAGGGAACTGCATCACCTCCCTGCAGCTCCACCCTAAAGGCTGGGCGACGCTCATCCGGTGCTCCAGCAACATGGACGACCAGGAGGTGAGAAACACCTCTTATCTCAAAGAGGTTTTTAAGCTCTTTATGATCATTAATGGCCTCACTGCGTGTCTCCATCTTCATGTTTTATAGGTCTGAAAGCAAAGTGAGATACTTCCTATGCGTCTAGATCTGTGAAGTGATTTATGACCTCCCTGCCCCCTTTATCGGTGTACTGTAGGAACTGCCTCATCAGCAGCGTACTGCACCTGCACCTTATTGAGCATGAAAAACCCCCAGTATGCCTGAACTGTGTCGTTTGTAGCTTTCTTCTTGCCGTTGTTATCAGCTTGAATTCACCACAGTTACAACTGATCTTCCAGTGACAAGTTGTTTGACAAGTGTGCTTGACACCCTCTCTTCCTAATCCTCCCGTACTTTTGATCTTGCTCTTGATGTACGGTGGCCTGCAGCTGACATAAACAAAACAAAAAAATCCTGTTTTCAGGAATTTCAGGAAGCTTGTTATAAAAGTATCCACATACACGGTGAATAGAAGTTAGTCACAAACATTAGCCATCAGAAATCATACCAACTGATTGTCTTAAATATAAAAGACAATCTGTCTATAAAACTACATTTCATGAACTTTTGTCATGATTGTTGACCATTGTTTTATTTATTTTTTTATGAAAATTATGATACCTGGGTTTTGGTTCAGATACCTTAACAATACAATTAAAAGTACGATTTTTTAACATGTTTTGGGGGATTTTTCAACTTTATTTTTGTAATTTTTGTTCCAGTGGGACACAGAACTGAACACACAGGTCACCGGGGGCAGTACAACACAGCTCAAATGTTATTAGTTCAGCAGTTGACTTACTTGCCAATAGTACCATACAAAGATAACACCAATAGGGCAATAAGTAAGGATTGCCTCCGGTCTGGTAATCAATCGTAATCCATCTAGTCCTCAGAGGGAATTAAAATGACTGCAGTCTTACGTAATCCAATTAGCAAATACACATTCAAACCCAGTGTGACCCCATTGAACAAATAAATCACAAGGAATTACACATATGATGATACTAGTAGACCTCAACTAGTATAAACATGATAATTACCAGCGATTATTGTCCAAACACAAGCAGCCATATAAGATTTTGCCTTAATGAAATAAATTAACTAGTAAATTCATTTTAAATTTTAAAAAAAGGTTAGATAAAAGAATATAAGTAGAATATTATGATTTCTGTTGGTACCAGAAAAGTATTGATGTTTGTTATCCACCACTACTCACCACAGAAATTAATGATCAGTGCTTTGTTATATAATCAGATACCTCATCTTTAAATTATTTTCCATTAGACTCTGTGTGTTTGTCCTACTGCTGTACCTTGAATGTCCAAACTCATTCTCAATAACAACAACAGGAACAAAATCTAAGAAAATTTGGCCACATCAAACTTTGTTTAGTAGAATTTATTTACAGTTTGATGTCGGTGCAGTGTTGTATCATTGTGTGAATTGGTGTTTTATCATAAACAAAAAGCCACTAATGGTCGGTTGGTGTCGCTGTGGGTCCTGGACCAACGTCAATCTCTCCAGTGACGCACCCCCGCTGTGTGACTACATCTAACACCGCCATCTCTCCTCCTCTCTCTCCCCAGTGGACGTGTGTGTATGAGTTCCAGGAGGGAGCGCCCACCCGCCCGCTGGTCTCCCCCCGCTGCTCCCTTCGCCTCACCCACTACATCGAGGAGGCCAACGTTGGCAGGGGCTACATCAAAGAGTTGTGCTTCAGCCCGGACGGACGACTCATCTGCTCCCCGTATGGCTACGGCGTCCGCCTGCTGGCTTTCGACGAGAGCTGCGGCGAGCTGGCCGACTGCCTCCCAGTCCAGACCAGCTGCCTCAGGGAGATCCGCTCCATCTACTCGCACAGCGACGTGGTGCTCACCACCAAGTTCTCCCCGACACACTGCCAGCTGGCCTCGGGCTGCCTCAGTGGACGCGTTGCCCTTTACCAGCCCAAGTTCTAGCAACCTGCGCTGTCAAAGAACGATGCACTGCAGACCTGGGTGGAGAAGTGCTAATCAGGGTTCCTGTGCAGATCTAGAAATGTGTCGAAGAAGAATACAGTTTCTATGATTTTAAACTCCTAACACTTAAAATCTGTAGATTTTTGTTGTGCAAAGGCTGTATCTGCTTTGTAAAAAGGCCTTCTTGGTATCCTTTGGTATAGATTATATCAAAACTATCAAAGGAAATTCAAATTTTTCCAAAAATCTGAATCTTTGGGAACCCTGAATAACATTTCCTAACATTTGTTTTAAAGTGCTTTAGTGGACCGGATAGGTGGGTGTTACTGCATGCAGATATTTTAAAAAGTCTGACGGTATAAATGGAATATTGTGATTTTTCTGGACCCTCTGCCAGACAATCTGCATGGAAAACTCCACCTATCTGGCACCTAAAAGGAATAGAACAAACCTTAAAACATATTTTCGGTACTTCTCGACCCAGATCTGTAGCTGTGAAAAAAGAGTGTTGACAGCTACTGTTCTGAAAAAAATAAAAGGAGAAGACTTCAGCTGTGACCCCTTTGTCCAGGCTGCACTAGTGGAGCCTGTCTGACCATGAACTTTGAAAAAAAAAATGGAGAAAACAGACAAACTTTGAGGCAACAAAACGAAAAAGCATCATTGGGTTTTGCAAACAAGACTCCATCCAGACTGAGGAGTTCAAACCTTGAAGCTCTGATCATTAAATCAAAAGCTGCAACATCCGTCAAAAACAAACTCTGCAGCTCGTCTGTGGCTCTTTTTTTTCATACTAAAGATTAATTTTGGTCTCTATAGCAGTAGAAAACTTATTTTGAGACTCCAGATGTTGCTGTCTCGGGACAAAAACACTAAGGATGCAAACAAACAAACAAACGGATATTAATCCATCAATTCTAACGAGACAAACAAGAAAACAGGCGCTTGTCTCCGTCGTCTGCGCTGTCGTTGATCGTCTTTGACACGGCGTCCTCCGCTGCGGATCGTGTCACTCTCAGCTGCTCCGCTCTGCTCATGCCTTTTTCCACAGGTGCTGCTTCTCTGCTCATACAATCTGAACTTTGACCCCCGACTTCAAGGACCTCATTGTCGACGCCTTTCCCATTTACCTACCTGTCACTTTTTTGTTCTCCGTCTCCACCCTGTTTCCGCCTTCATGGTCCTTTAGCGGTTTAGGTTTTTTAGTGGTTTTATTGGTGTATTAATGTCGGCACTACTAGTTCACGTTGTTTGATTCGTTTGATTCTAACGTTCACTGTTTGATCATTGAGGCCGCTTTAGGATTCACTTCTGCTTTCCCTGCACAGTTTTTGAGTTTTTAATCTTAAGTCTGTGAGTGGAAACTTGCAAACTTGCTGTCTGGACAATAGAAGCCGCCATCGCTGTCTCAGACATTTTCCAGACCCACTTTCTGTACAAACTACTATTGCAACATACTTTAGTGAAGGAAAATACTATTTACAATTTCATATTTCTTCTCTAAAAGATAAGACTGGCATTATTCTGTATTGTTTTTTTGTTTTTTTTACATACAGCACAGTATGCTGTGGCCCAAGCCCATTGGTTCCAACTGAAAACATAAATGTTAAGTAATTTCCTGAAAGAGCTGGCCACTGTAGTTTGTAGAAAACGTTACTCAAACAGGAGTAAATGGAGAAGTTGTTGGGACTACTTTCAGTCGCGGAGTAATACACAATTCTAGTTCATATTTGCAGCAGTTTATAGTAATGAAGGAACATTACAGTGGAGCTCTATGGTACAGAGGATTAAGATATATCAGTATTTAGCCACACAGATAATAAACGTTGGTAGAGTCCATTCATAGTTGGTTTTGAACTGAGCCCCTAAAGTCCCCTAAAGTGATTAATTCATATAATTATTAATTATGGGATGATAATAACTTTCCTTGTGTGAACAGGATAATAACTTGTGCACAAAAGCTAAAAAAATTTGACCTTAAGGGACTTTTGGGGCTCCATAGTTTTGGTCTTTTCGTGGGATTCCTTGATGCTAAAAAAAATATATATATAGAATATTGCCAGCCTCTTTAATTACCTTGTTGACTATTTTGAACTTATGGCAGAAGAAGTTTTTGCCTCAGCATCGTTCATTTAACCTTTTATAGGACATTGTTGCCAAGAAACATTTCATTTGATTGTTTTTCAACCTTGTACCTCATTTTGTTGGTTTCTGAAGAGTGTTGATCCACATCAGTGTTTTGAATTTGTTTCCTCCATCACATCCAGTTTCTCATTCTTACAATGTCGTCATAAAAGGTGACCAATCAGGTTTTTTCCTCTCTAAGGAGCAAATGGATTGCTTTGACTGTTGTAGTATCGGCAATGCTTTTGTGTTTTCAACCACTGTAGTATAGCTGCTCTAAGAGCCAAGCCTGGGTGTTAAACCTCACTGTAAACTGGTTACAGTACATACCGACCGACTGCAGAATAGATATTACGTGAACAAAAGATAGACATTAGCGTATACTACTATGCATACCAGCCTTTATGAAGATTCTCCTTTCTTATTTATACGGGGGCGATGCTCTGTGTGGAGCCGTCAGATGCCAAAACGTGTTTTTTGCTTGGACAAGGTAGTGCGTCTCCTCTGTAGTGAGATGTGAGCTGAGAATTTAAAGTGAACATCTGCAAATTATGGATTAAAAAAATGTGTCAAAAGCTTACATTTTTAAATAATTGCTTGACGTTACTGGAAATACGCTTATTCACTTTCTTGCCAAAGGTCAAGTGAACAGATTGATACTTGTCTCGTATTGGTCAGTTGAATATGAAGCTACAGCTAGCAGCCGGTTAGCTCAGCTTAGCACAAAGGCTGCAAACAGGGAAAACGGCTCACCTGACTGAAGGTCATTAATTAACATATTCTTAGTTTAATCCATATTAAAAATTAAAAAATTGCAGTTTATGGTTATGTAACAGACTATTTCTTGGCTGGGACTAGCAACTCCCTGGAGTTTCTGCAGGTTGCCTGGCAACCAAACAACAAAAAAATAGTCAGAGACATAATCCTCATAAAATGGCATCTTATTGTTCTGTTTATTCAGTTATTTAATGAGCTTTGTGTGTGCTGGTAGGTGCTGTTAGTCAAAGCCAAGCCAGCCGTTTCCACTTTGTGCTTAGCTAACCAGCTAACAGGCTAACCGGCTACTTGCGGTAGCGTCATGTTATTTGTTTACACATGTGAGTGGTTATCAGTCGTCTCATCTAACCCACCGCCAGGAAGTTAAATAAGCATAAATAAGAATTTATGTGAATTAATATTTGAAAAAAAAAAAAAAAAAGGAAGTTGTCTGAACATAGATGTGATTGAATAATTCCCAGCTCACAACGTGGTCCTGTATGTACTGAGGAAGGATGCTTTCAACACTTTGTACCTCAGTTAACTGCTCAAAATGTGCGTGTTTCACCAAATGGGGTTAATTTTACTTTCAGTTCAGTCAATTCTGGGACTTTTTTCCACCTCTAGAATAACTCGTTTTCCAAGTTACAGACATTAAGAAACAATCCAGAACCATTACACTATTTAACTGTTAAATTTATAGTTGTTTTTTTTAATTGACTGAGCTGAAGGTTAAAGGACCATCCATGCTGTATATTCAATGCTGCTTTTATTTCACTTATATTCACAAGCTCTTCGGAGAGAAGTGTCTTATCTGCCATTTTTCACTTCAGGTATAGCAACTAAAAAAAAAAAAAACTGGGTTCATTTTTATGGATTTGTTCTTTTTTTGGGGGGTTGTTTGTTTTTGGTCAGTCCTGTCCTTGGTTTTAACCTGTGTCCTGTTGTGGATTAATTGAATGTTCTCAGTAGTTCTGGTGTTAACCTGTGCACCATCACCTCAACTGATCACAGGTGGAGGAGGGGTGGACAAGAGACGGAAAACGTGTTGAATTGCTCGCACTGTTGTTTCCTAAATGGCTATACACAGCAATGAATCCCAACAATGAAACTAAAATGGTACTTATTATCACTGAAATAAAATGGTTAGCTTCTTTTTGCACTTCTGACTGTTTGGTGTTTGAGTCCAGTATTTCTATCTTTTATATCGTATTTTATTTTTATTCCATTATTAAAAACACCACATGTGAAAGAGAAACAACCACTAGATGGCAGTCAAACTAACTGGCAACAAAACCTGCAACTACTCCCAAAACTAGGGGTCCTGAATCCTCAAGAGACCGTGAGATGGTTAAGTTCAGAACAGTTTAACACGTTCAAATAAATCTGAGAAGGAAGAATCACATACCGAGGTGAACCGGTCACAGCTCGTAGACATTTACAACCTGTGTCAAAGGGCGGGAAGCAGACACGGCTGTGGTTTAGAGGATCACAAGCCAATACGCTGGTTTGTAACCTTTTTTGGTTTATGACTGTTTATAGCTGATGGCTTCTTGTAACCCCTTCTCACAGGTTGTAAATGAGCCGTGAACTGTGAGCAGTTTAACCAGAGTTCCCTGCTTAGATTGTTTCATTTGAATACCTTTAAAGTCATGAACAGCTCTCACAACAATTCTGCTTTTCTCTAACTAAAATGTCTGTATGTCATGTTGGCTGCTGTGGGGGATGTAAGTGTCTGATGGTCAGTCAATCTCAGCATCTGTTGGATGGATTGCCATTAAATTTAATACAGATATTCATGGTACCCAGAGGAAGAATCCTACTGACTTTGGTGATGCTCTGACTTTTCATGTAGCGCCACCAGCAGGTTAAAGTCCTCACATATCCAGTGAAATGTCAACATCTACTAGAGAGATCGGCACAAAATATTGTTCCAACATTAATGGCTTCCAGATGATGAATACTTAAAACTTTGGTGATTTTATTGACCTTTCAGTGCTTGCTTTGCCTTGAAGTCTGGTGTAGACATTCATGTGACTGTTCACATCTAACGCTATCAGCAGCAGCCACAAGAAGCTTTACCTTTTTTATTGATTTTGGCGGCCCCTGTGGACAAAAGTGGTTGTGTTTCCACCAGCTCGTTTCATTGATTTCAAGGGCAATCCAACCAAGTGGCAGGCATTAAGAATAACTTTATAGAAATAGCCTTTTTCTCGCTGATTGTCTTGTTTTAGTATGAAATTTAGACAGTTTCATTAGCAGTTAAAAATGCCTTGTAATACTTTAAAATGTCAAATGCTTTGATTTATGATTAAATACCTGTAAAACGAATTACATTTGCATGAGCCTAATGCCTAATTAGTGCTAATGAGCAAATGTTAACATGCTAACACACTGAACTAAGATGGTGAGTGTGGTAAACATTATACGTGCTTAACATTGTGCCTAAGTACAGCCTCACAGAGCCACCAGCATGGCTGTAGACTCATTATCTTGCTTGCCACTCTAGCAGCTTCTTTCTGTTCCAGGTTCTTTGGTTCAGATTTAGACAATAGATATATAGATATAATACAAATAAGTCATATTTATTTGAGATTTTATGGTCCCGTTGGACTTCAGTCAAAAAAAAACAGACACAGTGTTAGAAAAAACAAAAAAACATGTCACATATCAGACCAGCTGACAGTTAAATTCTCAACTCAGTCGTCTTACAGATGAGCAATAAACCCTACAGCATCATGTAGAGCATGATGCTGTAGCATGATACAGCTATAGCTACAGCTATAATGTACAAGTACTAAGGTGAATGCCTGTCCATAAATGTAAAGATGTTCATTATCCTTCAAAAAAGCTCCATGTTTGTATAACTTTTTAGAAGTGATTCAGTTTGTGTTCTTGTTTTTGTATAAAAACTCTGTTTTTTAAGTATTCTGTCATCTTCTGTAAGAGTTTGTGTAACTATCGTAGTTTAATCTGTCTTAAAGGGACAGTACAACCAAATAAGCTGTTGTGTCTGTCTTAATTTAATATTTTAAATCTGTGATCGCCGAATTGGTGGAAGTAGAAATTTTTAAAACCTCACTGTATAAAAACTGTCTGCATGTCTTGGTATCTACCTAAAAAAGAAATTGGGTGAACTGACCCTTTAATAGTGTCCTCTCAGTCATAGGAACACTATTCCTAGAGGTCATTTTTCTCCGTTCTAACCGAACTTCTTCAACCTATCAACCAGCTCACGTCTGAGGCTTCTTCAGCCCCTCGTCCCGTCCGCTCTCACGCTCTCTGGGCTCCGGTGGACCGAGCCTTCCTCGCCTGCTGCAGCCGCTGACTCTCCCTGCGGCGGTTGATGGCCTTGGTGCTGGCGCGGAGCTTGCGGAGCCTCAGAGCTCGAAGACGCAGCTGAAGGTCCTGGGGAATCTTCCCTCCTTTGGCCCGGATCTCCTTCAGCCTCTGAAGGGGCGTTTTGGTCAGGATGAAGTCACAGATGGTGGAATGTGGCTCCATTCCAACGTGGCACCGACGCATGGACGGGAAGTAACCCTCGGCCCAAACCACTACCTTGTACTCGCCCGGGTTCAGTAGACGCCAGTAGTCCCCATCAGCAGCTAAGGAAATTAAAAAAGGGTTGCTTTTATGGTCTCTCTTGAATGTTATGTTCCTAAAAATTACATTTCTAAGAAGCTTTAGTGGTTAATGTACCGTCAGAAAGTCATCAGCTGTTTTATTACAACAGTAAAATGCAAGACTTCCTACATTTCCCAGAATGCCTGTCAAAAAGCCCTCGAAGAACAGTGATGAGCTTAGTGCAGTGGGATCTTAGAGTAGCACAAAGGAGAAAGTACGGTGGCTGTAAAATGCATTAAAAACACAAAAGGCTCTATCTGGAGACGGTGTTTAGTTTGTCTGCTCTGGGCTACTGTAGAAACAAGGCGGTTCAATATAGCTGCCTCCATGGATGGTGAGCGTCTATAGTCATAAAATGTTCATTCTAAGGTAACAAAAACAACAATTCTTATTGTCAGGTGATTTTGCACGAATAAAAACATAGTTATGAATATTATCTTCCATTTCTGCCAACAGATCCTCCTAAATTTTACACATTGGACCTTTAAAATGAAGAAGTGTCTACTTGTGAGCCCTTATTACACTTTACATTACACTTACACTAAAAACTCATGTTTTCAAATTGCTTTTACCTATAAACTTTTAATCTCACCTACAGTATTAATTGTCATTTACTATTAATTTTATTCATATATAAAGGTCTATTGGGTAACATTTAGGAGGCTCTATTGGTAGAAATGTTCATGATATGTTTTCATTAGTGTAAAATCACCTGAAAATAAGAATCGTTATGTTTTGTGCTTTTTTTTTGCGTGTTTCACAGCCACTGTAGTTTCTCCTTCAAGCTTGGAAAAGGAGGGTGAAGCAATGGAGTTGTGATCTGCAACTTCACCGCTAGATGCCACTAAAACCTACACACTGGACCTTTAAATCTCTCTTTCTAACTACATTTAAAAATAAATAAATAAATTTTTTTCCTTTTCTCATCGTTAATAATTTTAGGACCCTTCAGATTAACCACCCGACCCCATTACTTGTACTATCAGCTTCCACACTGGTAATTAGAAAGGAGAATGATCAGATAAAAGAAATCAACCTGATCGGATGTCATGGTCGTGGTCCTCCACCTTGACTACAGCGTCTGCTATTCCTTGTTTAGTCAGCTTGTCTCTGATCACACCCTTGATGCCTCTGTGAATCTGAGTGAAGAGGAAATTATACACCATAAGGCCCCAAAGAGGAAATTAAGGCACAAATGAAAAAAACTTTATCAAAAAATGTATCAAAGCAGCTTTGAGATCCAACTCATGTGACTTTCTTTGTGCAGCTGGATGCTGTAGATGCAGACCGACCTGCTCCATGTAAACCAGCAGAGACTCCTTGTTGTTCTCCCACTCGATGGGAAGTTCACTGGCATGAGGGAACTTATCACAGGACAACTCCACCGTCACCTCGAAGCAGTTGGTGTGCATGTAACTGAAGTCATTCATACCTGCAGGAAGAAGTTTACAATCTGGATTAGAGAAAATGTAGTTTCAGGAAACTAACATTTAAATTTATCAGTTTTATTTATGCTTCTGGATGTGGAGGGTGGCGGCTACCATTGATTTAGATTAATTATAAAAATGGAGGAAAATGGAAATTAACACATATAATTTCATGACTGTCTGTAGGTAAGTCTGTAGGTTTAAAACTGTGGTTTTGGGACCAATAGGGGTCCTTTTGTGGGTTGTAGGGGGTTCCCAGCTTCACTGATGTGTCACAATAATGTTTTCAGTTAAAATATCTTCATTTTGGGACTTTCCAAGCAAATATTAATATATGGTATTGACAATTAAATCACCATATATTTCTGCCACCCCTTAAAAGGTCCAGTGTGTAACATTTAGAAGGCTCTATCGTCAGAAATTGAATATAATATTCATAGGTATGTTTCCATTACTGTATAATCACCTGAATATAAGAATTATAATGTTTTTGTTACCTTAGAATGAGACGTATTTATCTACAAATTGTCACTTTCCATGTTTCTACACCCAGAATGGTCAAACAAATGAACCTCTAAGTCCGACACACTGGACCTTTAAAGTCCCCATTCCACCCTCTTGCCTGTAAACCATGAATATTTCTCTGGTTGAGCTCAGTTCACAGGACAAAAAGCATAAAAATCCAGTTGCAGGGAAGGATGTAGAAAATCAAATCTGAATAAAATACATAATGTAACATTCATAGACAGAATGTAAACAACTAAAACTGAACTTTTGTTAGACAAAATAGGGGAAAACATTTGTAGTATTAGTAAGTTTAATATGTAAAACAATTAGATTTGATTCTTATACCCATAAAAGGTAGTAAATGTTAATATAATTTAATTTAAGGTTATAAAAAGGTAAAAACTGGAGCCTTAAGTTAAAGATTTAAGGCACTAGTTTAAATAAAAAGGTGCATGCTTTGAAAGGATGTTTGTCTGCCGGTAGTAAAAATTTTTTTCAAGTTTTATCATTTGTGATAACAGAAAACATCCTCTCCAAAAGCACAAAGCAGTATTTCTGAACACAAATCTTTCTCAGATGGCTTCCATCTTTCAGAAATCTCTCT